GATACTCTCTCCAATGTCTCATTTGTTCTAGGTGTATTGTGATTCCTTTTGAGGTGCAATACTTGGGGTACTAAGTTCTTAAAGGCCAAACTCAAGAAGTTCTTCAAGCTAAAACAAAGAGGTAATTATATAACTCATTTTTATGTTGTCTATGTCAATTGCATGCTAGTTGTAGGCTTAATGCTTTGGAAACAATATTGCATATATAATTAGAGAAAAATAGATCCAAATCATTTAGGGTTTTATGTGCACCATAGGATGTTGTATCATACCAAAACCCACCAATAAGTCATCTTGAACTGCTGATAACAAGGAGGTAAAGAGTGGAGGATAATATCAATGGCCAACTCTTCATCGAAGTTGACATTTAACTTAAGCAAATGATCCATGTATCTTTGCATTCTTTGCAAGTGGGTCGTGATGGACTCTCCATCCTTCATTTTGGTCGTGATTAATGAAGCACATATCTCGTACCTCTCTTGACGTGAAATTTGATGACACTTTTCCATCAAATCTTGGTGCTACCATAATGCATGACACCTTTGTCGCTTCTTTGCATCGAGCCTTATGCTCTTCCATTTCTTTGGGAGTAGCAGTGTTTTCATTTATCTCGAAGAGTTCCTTGTTGAGAATGTCTTCCTTTTCCTTGTATATTAAGGTTATGCGAATGTTGCGAATCCAATCGTTGAAAATGGATCCATCAAATGTTACCCTCCCACAAATGCCCAAAAGAGAAAGTGGGTTCAAGGAGTTGGTGTTGGAGGAGTTCGAGCCTGATATCTGAAAAAGAAAAGATATAAAGTTTAGATTAGATAAGAATCCTTAATCTAACACCCAAATGAAATATTAATGCAATGACCTAACACAATATTCTAGAATTCGGAAGAGGGATGCCGTAATCCAATTGCAAAATATTTGAAGGTAGGTAAATGACGATTACCAATTTCCACCATGAAAAACAAAAATGAACATTAGGTTTTAAATGAATTGAAATTCCTAGATTTTTTGAGATTTATTAAACTTTTCAATGACATGTTTAAATCTCGATTATGCCCTTCAAGTTTGTGATTGGGATACTGAGGATCACAAACAAGGTGTGAATAACCATGCAAATGTGCTCGGTACTCTCGATGTCATTTATCAACTAATTAATGTGCCGATTAACCACATGCGCTCTATTGATCTATGATCAACATTGAGCTACCATTTGTTACCCTTGTTAATCCAAGTCAGTGTGTCGGTTAACCACACACGCTTCATTAACGACTTGGCAAGGTGCAAAGTACAATTTCATGGAATAATATCATTTTCACATCTTGCCTAAAGTAACTAAGATTGAGAATTTATGAAAAACATTTAGTTACTTTATAATAATCATTATAATTTTTAATGAGGAATTAATTTTCCTATCCTACCAGTTCGGCTAACGACCCTCCACCAATAAAGGAAGTGGTGGGTGAGAGTGGACACCCATTTAACCACCATTTTATACACAGTTTCCTTATATCCTCCTTATAGATCAGCTTTGTGAATGAGGCCTGCTAATGGTAAGACCGACTTATCTTATAATTATATATAATAATTAAGTTTGTAATATTATAATAGTATAAGGGTTGCATTTTAATCTTTTAAAACACTAAGAGTTTTTAGAATTTAATATTTCAAAATTGAAACTTTTAATCAAATTTTAAATTCCAAAACTTGATGGCAAGTTTTGAAAATTTTCTAGATCAAATTTAAAATAACTAAAATAATCACATAATTTTACCATTATCTAAATTTGACCTAATCCAATTTTATTTTGCAAGATAATTACAATTCAAAATTTACAAATAATTAGTTTATCATATAATCTAGTGATTATCTTAAATTTTGACCATTATCTTCCAATTAGATTAGGATATTCATTACCATAATATAAAAATCAGATTTTGACAAAAAAAATGGTTTATGGTAATTATCCAAATCTAATTTAGGCTAAAATTCCAAAAATCCTGCAATCAGGCGAGTCAACTCGTTGAATCAGGCTTTGGACTTATCAAGTTGCCTCAACTCGTCGAGTCCCAATATGGACTCTTCAAGTTCACCTGTCAGGGGCTAGAAAACGATTTCATTTAACTCTGAACAATTGAACATAACATCAAATACAACAGTAAAACAACCTAAGCTCTGATACCACTGATGAGTTTTGAGTACTAAAACATCCCTATGGTGTACATGCAACCCTAATACTTCGGATCTATGTTTTAAAAAAGTTATACATGCAAATCAAGTTATCCAAAGCATGAAACCTAACTACCATACAATTTTCAAAAATTATAACATAATACAAGTTTAGAAGGATACCTTTTGATTGTAACTTGTAGATCTTGACCTTCAAGAGCTTAGTGTCTCAATTGTTGCACCTCAAATGGATCACAAACACTAAGTAACAAGTTGGAAGAATATGAGAGAGAGGTTCCTTTAGGGATCTCAATTGTTGCACCTCAAATGGATCTCAATTGTTGCACCTCAATTGTTGACCCGATAATAGCATGGTCCTTTAGGGATCCAAGGGGTTCCTTATATGGCTAAGCTAGTAGGGTTTCACGTAAAACCCTAATGCGGTTGTTTATTCTTTAAGCAGCCCATAAGATCCTTCCAGAAGGCCTTATGGAAGAAATCTATGTGGAATTCCTCATAGAATTCTTCCATCCCTTCTTTAGGGATCCATAAGCCCAACTTTACAGTTATCTTATAATTACAATATTAGTCCCCTTAATTCAATTAATCTCTTTTGATCACCAAATTAACTCCAAATTAATTCCTGATCAATACTAATTAAATGATATGATTTCTCAATTAATATATTATTGTTATATTAATAAATCACAATTCACCTCTTTTCTATTATTCTTCTAGTCAAGTTGTTATGGTGAAGATAACCCAAAAGGACCATGCTACTATTGGATCAAATACGTACCAATTATAGTTATTAGCTTAGACACCTAATCCAACACACACCGCTCGGTTCCGCATTTTGTGATTTACTTTGATAATGATGATGTATTGATGAGACTTTGATTACCCTGTTTTTTATAATAATGATATGATTTAACGGTTTATTAATCTAAAAATAAAATTTTTATGGTACTATTATTGGGACGTTACATCAGGTTGATAACTTGACTCGGGTAAATGTATTTTATGATAACGACTATACAATAAAATTGGTTTTAAACTCTGTATTTCATGAAAAAACAAAACACTTTGATGTTGATTTACACATTGTTAGAGGAAAAGTTTTACATGGTGTTTTAGATATTTTAAAAATTGATTCAGCTTTCCAAAATGTAGATATTTTAACAAAGTCTTTGATTAGTTCTCAACAAAATTTCTTAGTTCATCGACTTGGTTTATTAGATCATTTTTTCAAAAAACTAAAGATAATATGTTAAGTTTGATAGGGGTGTTGGAAAATGAGAACTAATGATATTCAAACTTAACATTTATCTTTTATATATATATATATATATATATATATATATATATATATATATATATATATATATATTCTTGGTTATTTTTGGTCTTTTGCCGGTATTAATAAGTAACGGCTGATAATGTAACTTTCTTGTTACATTTGGATTCAAGTGTAAACTCAGATACTACTGTGTGATACTATATAAAGAGGCGTATACACGGAGAAGCAGATCATATACACTATTCATTCTCTCGGTCCTTAATACCTCTTTTAGGTTTTTCATTATGGTTTTATTGTTCTTGTACAAAGGTTCAAAATTGTGCGAGTATTGTTGAGAGATTTCTGTATATTTTCCTTATAGTGAGGTTATATATTGTTGTTTGATGAATCAAACTGGTTCTTAATACAATATAATTGGGAATCTCTTTGTTTTGGTGTTCATATTTTTTAGAGAATGCTTGGACGCAAATTTGTTAAAACTCCTTAGATCATAATGTTGTAATTAGTGGCGATGAAGTTGATAAAAATGATGTGTTTTTAAAAGAAAACTGATCTTCAAAAGCAGACCGGTGAACTTATTTATTTGACTATCACAAGGCCTAATATTCCATATGATAAATCAAATATTCTCCTACATTTTGTTCTTATTCATCTTTCTACCCACTAAATCAAGGCATGTGTCCAAATTAAAAGAATGGATTTAGAGAGAGAATTAATTATTTCCACATATTATTACTTTATAGAGTAGAAAGATAAGTAGTAACAAAAGGTAGGAAGATATTTAATTTTTCATTATAGAGTGCAAACATAGAACACTCCACGAAAATCACATCTAAATGTTGCATTTCGTGTGTTCAGGCATTTAAAACAAAATCCAGCTGGTATGGGTGTCACTATTTCTAAAATTGAAGGATTATGCCATAGTGCTTATGTTGATGCAGATTGCACTAAATGTTTAACCATAGAGGTCAATAGAGGTCAATAACTGGGTACTGTATTTTTTTTTTGTTTGGTAATTCAATGGTTTCATGGAAAAGCAAAAAAAGCAAGACACCTTCCGAATAGTACTAGTTTCAATGACTTGTGGGATCATGTGGGTATTAAAATTGTTTTTTAATCTTTCTATTAAGGATTTAGTCCCTGTAAAAGTATTTTGTGATAATGAATCTTCAGTTAAACTAGCATTAAATCCAGTTTTCCATGAAAAATGGAACATTTTGAAGTGGGTGGACATTTTGTTCGTGACACTATCTAAAGGTGTTTTAAAAGTTGTTAATTTTTTTTTTTTGAAAAACAGATTGCTATATTTTTACATAATATTTAACTTCAAGTCAACATTGCTTCTTAACCTCTGAAATGGTACTTGTAGACCAGGTTAAAAAGTAAAGTGGTTACCAAGGTACTGAATAGTTAATATTGTGATAACTTCGACTGTTTTAGTGAAGGTTTCTCTTTTGAGGGACCTACTGGTAAAGTTTGATGACTTGAAGGACTATGATGTAAAGGATGCTGATGACTAACTCGTTGACCGGAAGAGATGCAGAGATTGAAGGTGTACAAAACTGATTTCTCGTGGACTAAAGAAAGCGCAGTTCTAAAGGTTCCGGGTTCGACCCGGTATCACAGTTAACTTATATAACTTTGATTTTTAGTTCATTTGTAAATAACTTGTATCTAAGTTTCTCTGTAAATTCTCTCTAACATTGCTCATCTTCTCTACTAGACACTCGCCTTACAAGTTACAAGAGAAACCCAATTCAGCAAAACAATATTTGGAAGAGTGGTTGATATGTCCACGTCCGACTCCAACCAAGAAAACTCTGGTATTTCAACATCCTGTTGACTTGAATGTATAGATTCATAAAATTTGTGTATATTAGCAGAATATCAATGAAAATATAGATTAAATGGCTCATCGGTTCAGATTGTGATCTATCAGCTAATGGGTTAGATGAGATCATGATCCATTTCATTTTACTTATTACAATGCTTCTCTACTTTCGTTTGGTTATTTATTATTACGAGATGCTTGAGAAAAAAATTTGGTGGTTAAGAACTCCACATAATAATTATTAATTATAATCTGGTTTTGTTAACCAATTTCAGAAAATGATGATTCAAAGTCATCAAGTAATGGCAAAGGCAACGTTACTGGAAACATAAATCAAAGGATTCTATTTGGTGGGGAAGGTTCCGAAAGGGAATTTTTGGGTCAGGTCGATGACAACACTCCTATCCCTTCAGTCCCTGATTGTGGAACTGTTGTTTCTGTTCAGAAGCACAAAGAAGAAATCTTGAAAGAGCATGCTGAATGGCTGGTAAGCATCGAAAAGTATACATGAATTCTATTAATAAAGAAAGACAAAATTTAAAATTTCATGGGAAAGCTTTTGACTCTAACTTAGTGTAGTAATAATGTCAAAAATCATTACTAACATCACAAAATGGATTGGGATCGATGCTTGCGTATGGTACAATAATGGACCATAACTGTAACTTAATTGGTATTCATGTCATTTTTACAGTATTTCAACAATTGTCTTAAAGAATTAAGAAAAGAAAGAAACGATGCCTATCACAAAGGGTTGGTGAACTTTTAAATTTCTGCTTTGGCATTATTTGCTCTTAATCATTTTCTAGTTAAATAAATTTATTCATAAAATTAATATCCCTAATTGTAAATTGCCATGTTGCAAGATACTAATATATTAAAAAAACAAACCAATTAAGGGTGGGTAGAACACCGAAGTCGGTGGGTTTTGAAGAAATTATATTACTTTTTATATATTATATATTATTTTAATTGCCCCAACCGACTAAAGAAATGATCCGGGATATTGGCAAATGGCCATAGTCTAATAACATATGGTAGCTAACTAGGTGTGCGATCCATGTATTACATGGATTTAATTAAAAAAAAATATGAAATTTTAACAATTTGAAAATTTTGAATTTATTAGAAAAATAAAAAAAAAAATTGAATTATTAAAATTATTGAAATTTTAATATATTGAATACATTACATATATAAATTCTTTCTAATAAATACTTTACATATATATTACATTATACATTAAATGTGGAATTTTAATTTAATAAAATGAAAAATACAATAAAATGATAAGTGGAAAATAGAAAATTTAAAAATTTAAAAATTTTAGAAAATGCCAAGTATCCAAATGAAGGAGAATAGAACACGTGGCAAATAAATCCTTCATTTATTATAGTAGATGAATTTAAGGTGACAAGAAAGAGCCATAAACGTATATAAACTATAGAAGCTAATCACAAATACATTTTTAATGATCAGGAATCTTCAAGCATGAGAATTCAAGGATCAAAAGAATTAAATTTTTTCACCGAATATGGTGAACTGAGTAGGTACAAGGTAAAGGAAATCATTGGTGAAGGAAACTCTAGTATTGTCTGCTCTGCATATGATACTCATACCGGGGAGATGGTAGCGATAAAAAAAATAAATAATATATTCAAAAATCTTTCTGTTGCTATCAGTGTCACTCGTGAGATTAAGCTACTTAGGCGCCTTTATCATCCAGACATTGTCAAAATTAAAAACATCCTGTTGCCTCCATCCAGAAAAGAATTTAATGATATATACGTGGTGTTTGAGCATATGGATTGTGACCTACACCAAATCATTAAAGCAAACGACGACTTAACACCAGAACATCATCAATTCTTTCTTTATCAAATTCTTCGAGGACTGAAATATATACACACAGGTACGTATATACAGTGTTATCACGCCTTGTTATATATATATATATATATATATATATATATATATATATATATATATATATATATATATATATATATATATATATATATATATATATATATATATATATATTCTGATTGTGAAATACTGCTTTCGTTTAATTTGCAGCGAATGTCTTTCACAGAGATCTAAGACCCAAAAATATTTTAGCTACTTCTGAATGCAAACTCAAGATCTGCGACTTTGGTATTTCAAGGGTTGCATTCAGTGATCAACCTAGTGCAAAATTCTGGACAATATATCCCTTCACCCATTGTAGTAATTAATCTAGTTTTTTATGAAGTTATTATACGATTGAACTAATTTGCAACTGGTTGCATTTTATGTGTTCACAGGATTACATTGCAGCAAGATGGTATAGGGCTCCTGAACTGTGTGGATCTTTTTTTAGTAAGGTGAATACAGATAGTCAGATACTAGTAAAGTTAAATGCTTTAAATTCATTGCCAATATAATCTCTGAACATATGAGATTTTAATGATAATAAGGGTTTATAATTTACTATACTAAATAGCTTTTTCTATGCAGTATACACCAGCAATAGATATATGGAGTGTTGGTTGCATGTTTGCAGAAATTTTAACAGGGAAGCCGCTTTTCCCTGGGAAAAATGTTGTGCATCAGTTGGATTTAATGACTGATCTTCTAGGAACCCCATCACCTGAAACTATCTCCACGGTTGGTTTACATCACAATTAATGATTATGTAAACTTTGATTGCTTTTCTTTTTCTTGCATGTGACTGTTGATATGACACATGCAGATAAGAAATGAGAAAGCAAGGAAATACTTAAACGGTATGAGGAAGAAAGCTCCTTTTTCTCTCGTTGAAAAGTTCCCGAATACAGACCCCCTCGCTCTTGGTTTATTACAAAGATTGATTGCATTTGATCCAAGGGATAGACCTACTGTTGAGGAGGTAATGTCTTATTTATCTATTAATTCAAAATTCCTGCTATGAAAGCTCTCATGCACGTATTAAGAAAAACATGTTTTGTGACTTGTTTTAGGCTCTTTCTGATCCATATTTTAAGAATTTGGCTGACGTTGAAAGGGAGCCTTCTGCTCAGCCCATTACAAAGTTGGAATTTGAGTTTGAAACAAGAGAAATTACGAAAGAAGAGTTACGTGAAGTGATCTATAGGGAGATTCTGGAATACCATCCAGTAGGATTTTATCTCACTATTAAATCATGAGAATTAGCAATGCATTAGCTTAATCTTTTGATGTATGGAAATACTGATTTTTGGTTAAGGGATGCATCACATCTGTGAAATGCAATAGGAAAAATGGCTAAGGCAGTGACAAGAAGCTTCTCCACTATATGACACCAAAGGCCAGGTGAGCTCTGATGAAGATGTTTTTAGATTCTAGACTTGAACATGTTTTTGTATTTTGTATCTTTTGTTTGTTAAATAAACTCTGCTGTCAAATGTCAATCACATGTGATGTTTAATGCTAGTGTACGTATAATTCCATAACGAAGGTAACACTCTAGCTAGTAGGCGCTAGACCACTTTATCTAGCCTATAAATTGGTAGCTCAAGATCAGTTTGTACGTAATCTTTTGGATTTTCATATTGTAATCACTCTAGAAACATCCGGTTAGTGAAATAATCAAGTCCAGTTCTTCTTCGTGTGATTTACTCCTTTATGCATTTTGTTTTGTGAATGATATATTGGGTTTTATAAAGTGGTATTAGAGCTAAATTTGACCGATATGATTTTTTATTTTTCTAGATCCTATCAAAAGTAAGCTAGACATGGTAGCTAAGTTAGATATTCTATCTGACTGTTATGTTAGTTATTAATGCTGGTTAGCAACAATTATGTTATAACCGTTGGAAGGAATAAACACAAGGGTTGATCACGTGGTGTATATAAGGATGCTAGGAGTATAATCCTCTCAACCCATTCAAGATAATTTTATCATCTTTTCCACCCCGGAAATATCATCTTTTTCAACTCACTTGTCACATCATTATTTTTAACTTCATTAAACTAAAAAAATGCAAAATTAAATAAAACATAATATTTTTTAAAACACCAGTACAAATAGAAAAAGAAGAGGTGATAATTAGAAGGAAAAAACTGAATAAGAAAAGACAACGTTAAAAAAAAGATAAAACTTCAAAAATAGTTCATGTGGTTTTCGAAAATATCAAGTTTAGTCCCTATGTTCAAAAAACCTCACAGATAGTCCATGTGGTTTCAAAACTTTTAACAAATGGTCATTTTCGCTAACACAGTTAGCTTTTGGCCGTTCAGTGATGGGTATTTCTGTCTTTTTACTACCACAGGGACCATTTATGAAGTTTTGACTTATTTTTTTTTTAAAAAAAAAAGAAAAATATATATAATTATTTAATATAAAGGGGGCCCACCCACCCATCCCTCTCTCTCTCTAAACAACCAAGAAACCACCATAAACCACCACCCAAAACCACCCTCTTCTGACAAAAAACGTCACCCCAAACACCACCTCACATCTCCCTCTCATCTGTTTCTGCCCAGAAAAAGGAAGAAAGAGGTGGCATCCACCTTGCTGCCACCAAATTGCTACCACCCCACCCTTCACTGCTACCACCTGAGAGCACATCCCCAACCCTTTGTTGTTGCTATTTCGATCACAACTCTCTCCCTCATCCCATTTGTTTTCTCTGGAAATTTTAAACAAGAAAGAAGAAGCAGAAGGCCACCGAAGCAGCTTCCTACTGCCCAACGCCACCTGGTGCTGCTGCTTTAAAAATCACCTGCCACCTCACTTTCTCGCCGAAAAAACCACCCCTAAGCTACTTAGTGACCTTCTCCACACTCCCTTCATTGAATATAGTCGAAGGAAGCAAGAACATGGCATCAGAAGACCACCGAAGTGGCCTCTTGCCATCCTCGTCGCTGTTCCAAACCGCCATCAGCAAAGATGTGTTCGTAGGCTAACTATGAAGAGGAAAATCATTTGTGCATTGATTTTGTTATCATTTGCTCGATCGATCCAAATCCTCACTATACTAATTAAATCAATCAGAAGCCCCATCGTCGATGAACTCATATCAAACGGTGAAATCCCCAAATCATAGCTTTCTTAACCTCCGTCCCATTTCTTATTTCATTCCTTCACCATGGTTCTTTAATGGCTTATTCGACACCAACAACCCATTTGAAAACAACAAAACTCGAATCAAACCTATGAAGGGGAAGGGGTTATCATCGGATATTACAGTAGCAACCATTTTTGATCAAACTCAATAGCCCCACCCCACCCCAAATCACATTCTTTACATAGTTGATGCCAAAAAAACCGAAAGGGAATTTCTTGGGAAAATCTTAAAGTGGATCCATTCATAGATTTAGATGAAGAAGAAGATGTGTTGCTGAAGAGGATTTCAAGACCCGGAATTGCATCACAAATGTAAATCATACCCTAAATCTTTCTTCTAAAGGAATGAAGGCACATAACCCATCAAATTTCAATCAAAATTACATCCTTATCCCTCGTTTTCTTCATAGATTTCCAGATAACAACCATCTATCTCCAAGAGACCAATCAGGATAAAGGTCAAAAAACCATAAGTGATTGTGAGGCGACCACCAGAAAACGCCCCATAGAAATCTGTTTCAGATCAAATAAAAGAATGGAATCCGACAACGATTTAAAGAAAGGGGTGGAAGAATGGCCATGGCAGTAGGAAGTAGGAACGGTGGAGAAAGAGGGAGAGAGAGAGAGAGAGAGAGAGAGAGAGAGAGAGAGAGAGAGGTGGGACCCTTTAATATTAATTAATTATATTTTTTTTTCATTTTTTTTAAATAAGACAAATCTTCATAAATGGTCCCTATGGCAGTGAAAAGGACCATTTGTTAAAAGTTTTGAAACCACAAGGACCATCTATGAGGTTTTTTGAACTTAGGGACTAAACTTGATATTTTCGAAAACCACAGGGACCATTTTTGAAGTTTTGTCTATAAAAAATCACAATTAAAGTTAACTAGTGAGTACATATCCAGAAATCGAATGTAGGCATGCTCGATAAAATCACAATGATTGGATCAAAGTTGGTGTTGAGTTTCTGAATTTCGCAATTCGTGTAGTGCTTCTACATCCACAACTCCGACATTTGGGGGGATTGGGTTGATGAACAAGTGATATTACAACAGTGTCCTCTTATCATATTGTGTAGTATAATACAAATATACATAACATTTCTTGTTCTATTCTCCAACATAGAATGTGCTGACAATTTTAATATGTCCCAATGTGCTTTAGGACCCAAAAAGTGTGTTCTACATCCTTTCTTACCTATTCTTGTGCAGCCTTGAACCATATCTTTTTGCTAGATATTGGATGTGGATATTACTTCATGAATACAACCCATCGTAGTTACACTACTAGAAAAATGGCCTTTTATGATGTGCAATCCACAACACTCATTAATTTATGTTACGCAAAAGGGAGTGACCTTAAAATGGTGTCCTCTCTTCAAAAAATTTAAGAATTTTGGTTACGCATTATTGCGTGCCCTTAGATTAGTGTCTAAATGAAAAAAAAAAAAAACTGAGGGCGCTTTAATTAAACGGGCGTCCTCTATAACCATCGCCTTTTAATTTTAATGAGACGCGCTCTTGTTTCAAAGTATCTGCTAAAATATCTAGGGCTTTTCAACAAAGATCAAAACACTCAGTACAGATCATCACTCAATACACTCTACAATCAATCGTCGACTCGCCTTGCAGACAACGTCCCCTCCAACGATGTTAGGTTCCTTCTTTTCCGACTGACTTCACATCGCCGACAAGATTGGGCTCTCTTGCCATAGTTGGAGACTATTCAATCTTACGTGCCCTAGGTCTGATTAAGGTATTGGAGAAGTCAAGTGTTCCTATTGAAAAATCCCCTGTTGGCCAGAGAACTAACTTTCATCTCTATTTGCTAGAACCAAGTGACAGAAGAGCAAGAGTAGAATGAGGGGAAGAAGCAACTGGTATCCTTGAAATCGATGATAAATTGAACACATTCAAGGGTTTCTCACCTTCTGAAGCTTCTCAAGTTGAAAACAAGGTAACATTTCAAGAAAACCGATGCTCTTACTTGGGTTTTCTCCTCATGTATATGCTTGCACTTAGATGGGTTTTTTCCTCCGATTATCGATTATAGTTATTCTTTTCATGGTTTGTGTAAACTTCCATTTTGCAAGAAAAATAAAAAATAAAACCATTTAGTGTTTCTCTACCAAAAATAGCTGCTAAAAAAAGCCATCAGGTTTCAATGCCAACTTACTTTGTCACATCCAATTCAAGAAACATAAAAAAAATATGGCATAATTTTTTCAGCATGCTTCCATCGTAAAAGAAAGTATTTTTTTTTTTTTTTTTATAAACCATGAACATTTTTTACAGTAACAATACAATACACTAAACAAACCTATGAGATTTACATGGGGTTGATAAGGGCTCACTCAATCTGAAAGAAGCTTTCCATTTGAATCCATTTGACTGACTATAAGTTTAGTACAGTTGGCTATGCTAGTTTCTCTTAAGCTGTCTAAGGTATGCTTCCATTAAAAGATAAAGACATCAAAAGACACATTGCATTTCAGCCAATATTCAACATAGAGTCATAGACGAAGCCAACTAACCTATCCATAAGCTAAAATCATTGTGGATAAAATAACAAGAAGCTTCATGAGTATTATGATGTACACATAGAGAAACAGAAAAGATGCAATGATCAAAACAAGAAAGTGTGGTATGAAGTAAAGTAGCAAATTGTAAAAAAAAAAAAACAGCACCACACTATAAGGGTTATTGACATATCAAAAGATAGAAAAGAAATCAACTAGAGATAGGTGGCAACTTTGGGAGCAAATCAAAGCTTTAAATTTTAAAAAACAAAACCACACTATAAGTGTTTTATAAATAAGGTCTATTTCTTTTCTATACTTAATAAACAATCTGAATGAGTTGCTAACTCTTGAAGCTACAAAACAGAAAGAAAAACATGTCTAATATGATTTTAGGAGAGACATAAGGAGTTGTAAAATGCCATACCTTCTTTAACCTCTGCTTCTTATCTTCTTTTAAACCCATAACCGTTTTAGCAAGCCTAGCTAGGGTTTCATTGCTTATTACAATAGGGACTCCACTGGACAAATGACTTAGTATCATTACTTATCACTGAATCAACATAACTTTAACACCACAAATAACAATCTAAGTAAGTAATAGTTGTAAAACTAAAACTTATGATATATATATATATATATATATATATATATATATATATATATATATATATATATATATATATATATATATATATATAGACTTTTCTTTACCACTTTTACCCTTCCCTTGAGACATACTGTTTTAATAACATTAATACCCATTAAAACATGTTAAATTTTTAATCTTTATTATGTAAAAAGATTCAGTTACCTTGATGATGATGCACCACTAGCATTACCTTGAAAACCAAAGTTTAACTCAAATTAAA